AACTATTGGCAGAAAGGTGGACTGGTGCAAGTATTAGTGGGGGGGGGGGGTTGAAGAGGGTTGGAATAGTTTTAAAAATGCAGTATTATAATGTGGGGCAGAAGTTTGTGGTTATAGGAGGGTGGGTGCAGGAGGAAAGAGGAGTGATTGGTGGAATGATGAAGTAAAGGTTGTGATAAAAGAGAAAAAGTTAGCTTATGAGAGGTTTTTACAAAGCAGAAGTGTTATAAGAAGAGTAGAGTATAGGGAGAGTAAAAGAAAGGTGAAGAGAGTGGTGAGAGAGTGTAAAAAGAGAGGAAATTTTAATGAAAATAAGTAAAAAATTTGAAGTGAGTTAAACAAGTTAAGAAAGCCTAGGGAATAAATGGATTTGTCAGTTAGAAACAGAGTAGGGGAGTTAGTAGATGGGGAGAGGGATGTTATGCGTAGATGGCGAGAATATTTTGAGGAACTTTTAAATGTCGACGAAGAAAGAGAGGCGGTAATTTCATGCACTGGACAGGGAGGTATACCATCTTTTAGGAGTGAAGAAGAACAGGATGTGAGTGTGGGGGAGGTGCGTGAGGCATTACGTAGAATGAAAGGGGGTAAAGCAGCTGGAACTGACGGGATCATGACAGAAGTGTTAAAAGCAGGGTGGGATATAGTGTTGGAGTGGTTGGTATTTTTGTTTAATAAATGTATGAAAGAGGAGAAGGTACCTAGAGATTGGCAGAGAGCATGTATAGTCCCTTTATATAAAGGGAAGGGGGACAAAAGAGATTGTAAAAATTATAGAGGAATAAGTTTACTGAGTATACCAGGAAAAGTGTACAGTAGGGTTATAATTGAAAGAATTAGAGGTAAGACAGAATGTAGGATTGCGCATGAGCAAGGAGGTTTTAGAGTAGGTAGGGGATGTGTAGATCAAGTGTTTACATTGAAGCATATATGTGAACAGTATTTAGATAAAGGTAGGGAAGTTTTTATTGCATTTATGGATTTAGAAAAGGCATATGATAGAGTGGATAGGGGAGCAATGTGGCAGATGTTGCAAGTATATGGAATAGGTGGTAAGTTACTAAATGCTGTAAAGAGTTTTTATGAGGATAGTGAGGCTCAGGTTAGGGTGTGTAGAAGAGAGGGAGACTACTTCCCGGTAAAAGTAGGTCTTAGACAGGGATGTGTAATGTCACCATGGTTATTTAATATATTTATAGATTGGGCTGTAAAAGAAGTAAATGCTAGGGTGTTTGGGAGAGGGGTGGGATTAAATTATGGGGAATCAAATACAAAATGGGAATTGACACAGTTACTTTTTGCTGATGATACTGTGCTTATGGGAGATTCTAAAGAAAAATTGCAAAGGTTAGTGGATGAGTTTTGGAGTGTGTGTAAAGGTAGAAAGTTGAAAGTGAACATAGAAAAGAGTAAGGTGATGAGGGTATCAAATGATTTAGATAAAGAAAAATTGGATATCAAATTGGGGAGGAGGAGTATGGAAGAAGTGAATGTTTTCGGATACTTTTAAGTTGACGTGTTGGTGGATAGATTTATGAAGGATGAGGTTAATCATAGAATTGATGAGGGAAAAAAGGTGAGTGGTGCATTGAGGTATATGTGGAGACAAAAAACATTATCTATGGAGGCAAAGAAGGGAATGTATGAAAGTATAGTAGTACCAACACTCTTATATGGGTGTGAAGCTTGGGTTGTGAATGCAGCAGCGAGGAGATGGTTGGAGGCAGTGGAGATGTCCTGTCTAAGGGCAATGTGTGGTGTAAATATTATGCAGAAAATTCGGAGTGTGGAAATTAGGAGAAGGTGTGGAGTAATAAAAGTATTAGTCAGAGGGCTGAAGAGGGGTTGTTGAGGTGGTTTGGTCATTTAGAGAGAATGGATCAAAGTAGAATGACATGGAGAGTATTTAAATTTCTAGGGGAAGGAAGGCGGGGTAGGGGTCGTCCTTGAAAACGTTGGAAGGAAGGGGTAAGGGAGGTTTTGTGGGTGAGGGGCTTGGACTTCCAGCAGGCATGCGTGAGTGTGTTCGATAGGAGTGAATGGAGACGAATGGTATATGGGACCTGACGATCTTTTGGAGTGTGAGCAGGGTAATATTTAGTGAAGGGATTCAGGGAAACTGGTTATTTTTATATAGCCGGACTTGAGTCCTGGAAATGGGAAGTACACTGCCTGCACTCTAAAGGAGGGGTTCGGGATATTGACGATTTAGAGGGATATGTTGTGTATCTTTATACGTATATGCTTCTAAGCTGTTGTGTTCTGCGCACCTCTGTAAAAACAGTGATTATGTGTGAGTGAGGTGAAAGAGTTGAATGATGATGAAAGTATTTTCTTTTTGGGGATTTTCTTTCTTTTTGGGTCACCCTGCCTCGGTGGGAGATGGCTGACTTATTAAAAAAAAAAAAATAATAATAATAATAATAATCAATACAAAATTTGAATTGACACAGTTGCTTTTTGCTGATGATACTGTGCTTTGGGAGATTCTAAAGAAAAATTGCAAAGGTTAGTGGACGAGTTTGGGAGTGTGTGTAAAGGTGGAAAGTTAAAAGTGTACATAGAAAAGAGTAAGGTGATGAGGGTATCAGATGATTTAGATAAAGAAAAATTGGATGTCAAAAATGGGGAGGAGTATGGAAGATGTGACTGTTTTCAGATACTTGGGAGTTGACGTGTCGGCGGATGAATTTATGAAGGATGAGGTTAATCATAGAATTGATGAGGGAAAAAAGGTGAGTGGTGCATTGAGGTATATGTGGAGACAAAAAATGTTATCTATGGAGGCAAAGAAGGGAATGTATGAAAGTATAGTAGTACCAACACTCTTATATGGGTGTGAAACTTGGGGTTGTGAATGCAGCAGCGAGGAGGCGGTTAGAGGCAGTGGAGATGTCCTGTCTGAGGGCAGTGTGTGGTGTAAATAAATATTATGCAGAAAATTTGGAGTGTGGAAATTAGGAGGTGTGGAGTTAACCCTTTCAGGGTGGGCGGGGCCTCCCCCTAAACTTGTTCTCGGGGTAAAATTTTCAAAAAAATAAAATAATTTTTTTTTTCTTATAAATTTGATAGAAAAACCTTTTCCCAAACATAAGACCCCGAAATATAAAATTTTATGGAAAACTTAGGTTTTTAAGCTCTCACGAAGTTACGGTCTAAACGATTTTTACGCATGGGCGTTTTTCGCCCACTTTGACCCCTATTATTGGTCAATTCAATGTCCCCTTTTGACAAATACAAAACCATTTCGCTAGAACTCCTTTTTGCCTTCGAAGGGAGAACAAGAAACCCCCCCATTTACAATTTCAACTACCAAATAACGGGGTTCAGAAATTGAAAATTTTTCCCAAATTTCACACAAATTTAAAAAAGGGAAATCCCAAATTTCCAAATAGGGTCCAAAAAAACCCAAGAAAGACTTTCCGGGCACAAAAAATACATTTCCTCTTTTGGGAATTACTCATTTTCCCCGGGCCTCTGCTACATTTCTTTTGTTTTCCATTTTGGAATTTTTTTCCCCCCCAAAAGAATAGAAAAATTTATTTTAATGCAGCCCTGCTGCATTCATTAAAAAAATGGTGTAGAAATGGAAAAAAATAATATCAGCACAGGGGGAAAAGAATTTTAGACCGCATTTGCCCTTTTATTGAACGCATGGAAAATTTTGTTTTAACCTTTGAGTTTTGGGGGCAAAAACGAACTTTTCTGCTACTTTGAGCTCAATTTCAAGGTATTTTTCATTGTAAAACCCAATCAAAATAAAATCTCGTTTCCCATAAAAATGCCCTTTCCTTTCTAAAAAAATTTAACCGGGACCGGGAAAAACTAGAATACAACCCATCAGTAGTAAACGAAAATACTCGGCAAAGCCCGTGTTTAAAAACCAAAAACACTCAGTTTTTTTTTCTAAATTACCAGTTTTGTTTGAGGTTTTTTTTTATACTGAAACAAAACTGACCAAAAGACTCTTTTTTTTCATATGTGGGCCTACCACTTTCCCCCGCTAGATTTAAAGGCACAAAAATTTTAAATGAGAATTTAGTATTTTCATAAATTCTGGGGGTTGGTGCCGTAAAAAGTATGGCCCCAAAACCCTAAAAGGGGATTAAAAGAAAATTATTTCAGAGGGCTGAAGAGGGTTTATTGGGGGTTTTTGGTTGTTTTTTATTAAAAAATGGATCAAAAGTAGAATGCCATGGAGAGTGTTTAAATCGGGTAGGGGAAGGAAGGAGGCGTGGGGGTTCGCCCTTTGGGAAAGGTTAAGGGGGGGTAAGGGGGGTTTTTTTGGGGGCAAAGGTTTGGGCCTTCCAGAAAGGTGGGGGCAAGCTTTTCCAATGGGAGTGAATGGGAACGAATGGCTTTTGGGGACCTGACGACTTTTTAAGAGTGTAACAGGGTAATATTTAAAAAAGGGGATTCGGGGAAACGGGGTTTTTTTTATATACCCTGGACTTGACCCCTGGAAATGGGAAGTACAATGCCTGCACTCTAAAGGAGGGGTTTGGATAATGGCAGTTTGGGGGATATTTTTTTGTACTTTTTACTATATTTTCTTTTCAACTTTTGTGTTCAGCCCCCTCTGAAAAAAATGATTTAATGTGGTTTAGGGGAAAGTGTTTAAAAGATTATGAAAGTAATTTTTTTTTGGGGATTTTCTTTTTTTTTTGGGGCACCCTGCCTCTGGGAGAAACCCCACTTGGGTTAAAAAAAAAAAAAATAATAATAATAATAATAATAATACTCCAGCAAATGAACTCGTATCTCCCTTGTCAGGGGTCTTTTGGTTTTAAAACCTCAAAACACCCTTTCAAAAAAAATTAAACCCTTTTGTATCAATTATTTCATGTAAAGAGAAAAAACAGTTTTTTTTTTTATTTTAGGGGAAACCCCCGCCTCAGTGGGGACCACTCATCTTTGAAAAAAAAAAAATAATAATATAGTAGTATAATAAAAATAATAAAATTTAAAAGTAATAATAAAAGTAAAAATAATTCCCCCAGGAAGGTGACAATTCGGGATTGGAGCAGGGGTTTTCAACAAGGTGAATAAGTTAAAACGAGATTAAAGGCAGCCTCACGGGAAAGACTACCCCCGCAGGGGTCCCCAAAACTCCCAAAGGGAAAGACAATTTTTTTGCTGTGATTCATTTTTTTTTTAACAGGTTTTGTTTTCTAGCTCTATAGTGGAAATTGATGGCGATAGAGTACTGTAGTTCCAAATTCAGCTCACAAGCCCAAAAGGGTCTTTAGTTTTAAATTTCAGGTAAGTGAAGATGTTTTAATAGTCTTGTTAATCCCTTTTTCCCATATTTTTTCTAGCAAAACAAAACATACATAAATTTTTTCCACATAAAAAAAAGACCTTGCATACAGACCCCTTTATAAAACAGACCTTGATATAACAGATCTTGATATAACAGATCTTGATATAACAGATTTTGATATAACACACCTTGATATAACAGATCTTGATATAACAGATCTTGATATAATGGACCTTCATATAACACACCTTGATATAACAGATCTTTATATAATGGGCCTTCATATAACAGGCCTTGATATAATGGTCTTCTGGAATAACACAAAAATTCACTGAGTAAATTATACTTTTTACTCATTTATTTTCCATGTTTATTTCAGTACATTTGTAAATAGTGTGCTGAGTGCTGTATTAGATGTACAGTAGAGCGCTGTATGGCTTTTCTCCAGTTTTTAACACTGTCTTTTTATTAATACATCTTCCATTTCCCACCAAGGTAGGGTGGCCCCCCCAAAAGAAAGAAAAACTTTCACCATCATTCACTCCATCACAGTCTTGCCAGAGGTGCACTTACGCTACAGTTATAAAACTGCAACATTAACACCCTCTCCTTCAGAGTGCCGGCACTGTACTTCCGATCTCCAGGACTAAAGTCCGACCTGCCAGTTTCCCTGAATCCCTTCACAAGTGTTACCTTGCTTACACTCCAACAGCATGTCAAGTCCTAAAAACCATTTGTCACCATTCACTCCTATCTAACACACTCGTGCACGCTTGATGGAAGTCCAAGCCACTTGCACACAAAACCTCTTTTACCCTCTCCCTCCAACCTTTCCTAGGCCGACCCCTACCCCGCCATTCCTCCATTATAGATTTATAAACAGTCTCAAACTCAGTCTATTTTGTTCCATCCTCTACATGTCCGAACCACCTCAATAACCCCTCCTCAGCCCTCTCGATAGTAATTTTCATAATCCTGCACCTCCTCCTAATCTCCAAACTATGGATTCTCTGCTTTATATTCACACAACACATTGCCCTCAGACATGACATCTCCAGGATAAAGTTCTTTGTCTCCACAAACTCCTCAGTGGATCACTCACCTTTTTTCCCTCATCAATTCTATGATTCACCTCATCTCTCATAGACCCATCTGCTTACATGTCCACTCCTAAATATCTGAATACATTCACCTCCTCCATACTCTCTCCCTCCAATCTGATATCTAATCTTTCATTACCTAATTTTATAAATGACCATAATTTTTAAAGGGGTGAACCGGTAAGCCAGCGGAAGGCCTCGGTCAGATGAGCAAAAGCTCCAAAGGCGGGTCATCATCTGACTAAGACCCGCGTCAGGAAACATTTGTCCTGTTTCCTGACGAACCTTACCTAACCTAACCTAACCTCATCACCTTACTCTTTCCTGTATTCACTTTTAATTTCCTTCTTTTACATACCCTACTAATCTCATCCACCAACCTCTGCAGCTTCTCTTCAGAATCTCCTAAAACCACAGTGGATGAGAGAATACTTGACAGGGAGGCAACAACGATTCATGGTATGTGATGAGGTATCACTGTGGGTGCCTGTGACGAGCAGGGTCCCACAGAGGTCAGTCCTAGGACCAGTGCAACTGTGACAACTCCCACTTTGTGATAGATTCTGTATCTTTTCACCCCACACCTGCTAACACCCGAGCATTCACTTCTCTTACAACTCCATCTATAAATATGTTGAACAACCATGGTGACATCACACATCCTTGTCTAAGGCCTACTTTTACTGAGAAATAATCTCCTTCTCTCCTACATACTCTAACCTGAGCCTCACTATTCTAATTTAAAAGATATTTGGAAAATCTCCCCTGTTAGTCTGTTTTGATGGTTTACTGTACCTGGGTGTTTGTATCTTGACACCTGTTGCCCATGAAGGCAAATGTTATGAAATACAGGCCGGCCCTGCTTTACAGCACTTTGCTTTACAGAGCTTCACTAATGCAGTAGTTTTCAATTACAGTGGTCCCTCAATTATCGTCCATAATCCGTTCCTGGAAGTGGGACTATTATCGAAATGGATGATTTACGAATCAATTTTCCCCATAAGAAATAATGTAAATTCAATTAATCCGTTCCTGACACCCAGAAGTATTAAAACAAAAAAAATTTTTACATGAAATATAGATGTAGTACATAAACAATACAGTGGCACATGATGAATTAAACATTAACAGAATAACACTTACCTTTATTGGCAATTCTTTTTGTGATGGAAGACGGAAAAGGGAGACAGATTGGATGATTTACGTTTGGAAGGGGAATCCCCTTCCCCAACACCTCGGGCCCAAATTTTGCTTTTTGGGGTTACTTCTCTTCTCGTTTTTTTAAATCCCACTAGGACCCCCTTGAGAGTCATGGAGTCCGTCTCGCAAAAAAAACGCCAGAGAGCTCTTTTCTGGGTCTTTTTAAAAATTCCCTAAAATGGGCCAGTTCGTCACTGAAAAAAGTTCCGATATGGCTTGCAACATCCTTCTCTGGGGTGTGTTTCCCATAAATCATCCATCCTCCCTCAATTAAAAAATTCCTTTTTTTCTGAAAAAGGGCACCTTCCCCCATCTCTCTTCCTCCCCCCCTTTGCAGCAAATTTACGTGATCTGTTGTCTTTTTGAAGCTCTTGCAGTCCCAGGGGTTAGCCTTCTTTATAGTCCTCCACCAATCTTCCAATCCCCAAACTCGCATGGAACCCCCGGGTCCCAAAAAGGGATTTAACAACTGAAAAAAGGCTCATCGGGGCCCCCCAAACCCCTTAAAAATCCCCTTGTGGACAAAATTGGGCCCCAAATTTTTCCAAGCAGAGTTCAAAGTTGTAGCACTCCTCCAACCCTTTACCTATAAGGTTACGCAAGGAGAATCAAGTGTTCTTTCCAGAAATCTTGTAGGGTAATGAGTGTTGAGGTCAATTCAAGCACCTTTCAAACATTGCTTTGGTGAGTTTTTTAAAGTTTGCAAACCTCGGCTTTGGGGAGAGGAGGGGTTTTTTCGGGGAAAGAATTTACTGTGAAAACCCCCAAACCCTTTCAGAATTAGGTCACCCAAAGTTTGGGGGTGGCATGCATTGCCATTTAGGGGCCCCTGAGATCCAATTTCTTTCCAGGAGGTAATTCTTCACACTAGGGCCAAACCTTCATTGAACACTCGAAAAAAATGCCCCTTTGTGACCCAGCCTTACTAAAATCTAAAAAAACACACACAATTTATTTAAAAACTTTGTTTTTCTTGAACATTTGGGGATTTTCGAAGGTACACTGAAAGGGTTTTCACTTTGAAACCCCCCCTTGCATTAGCACGAACTTTAGCGTCACCCGTCTTCATAGCTTGTGCCCGGCAGCGCCTTTTTTTCCAAAGAAATGTAGGCCTCTTTGGCATTTTCCTTCCAAAAAGAGGCCTGTTCATCAAATTGAAATTTGTTCAGGTTTCAGTCCTTATTTTATGTACCCTTAAAATTCATGCACTATTTTTCAGCCCCCTTGTGGCCCCAAACTGGGCCCCCCCATCCCTTACCCCCCGTGTACCAGTACCTTCTTAAATCTCTAAAACCACCTTTGCTGGCCAAAAAATTTCCTCGTATCACCAAGTTCAGCAATTTCTTTCCCAAATGTCTGCAATGCTAGCCTTTTCAAAAAAAGCGGGTAATAAATATCCCCTGCAATTGTTTCTGTTTACCCACCCCAATAAATTCTAAAATTTTCGAGTCGTGATTCTTTTTGTCACTATTTACCCCCTTTGCAACAACAGCATCCTTGATTTCCTTTTTCTTGGGTTGATGGGAAATTGGTTTTACGGGTTTTTTTACACATCCTGGCCGTTTTTTCACAGTTGCCACAAACATATTTTTCAAAGATGTTTTTCTTAAAAACAATCTATTTCTCACCTTTTTACCAAGCCTTGGCACTAGAAGTTTTTTTGGAGCCATAGTAGTTATTTAGCATTTAAAAAATTTCAAACACTAAAATAAATGGAATATTATGAAATATTCGCTGGGGCCACGTGAGGGGACCGCGCCCCTGGAAATAATGGCAACTGGCTGGGAAGGGAAGGCCCCAAGGCTCAGAGCAGGTACGCGTCCCCAAAAAGGACAAAAAGCGAGTTACCGGGCCATTTTCGAGCCAATATTTTACGAAAAAACAGGCTATTTTCCGAAATGGACGATTTTTTAGGGCCCGGGTTATTTAGGGACCCCCGTAATATTCCCCTTTATTATTCGGGCTTCCCAAAAAAAATTTTTCACCACCACTTAACTAAAAGACAAAAAAAATTTAAAGGGAAGAAAAATGGTACTCTATATCATTTTTTTTGGAAAATTTTATTACTCATTAATTAAAAATAGTGTTTTAAATGTTATCAGGCTTTATATCATTTGAAAGGAAAAAAGGCATATTTACTTACGTGATTTTATTTTACAGCATTGCCCCAACCCCCAAACTTCGTAAAGTTGGCCCCCGCAGTAACCCCGAATAACCTGCGTAAAATGGAACCCTCCTGTAGACCGTGAAAACGAGACAAAGCAGTAAAAATGGGTTTTTAAAGACAGGGGCGATTATACTGTAAGCCTCTCCTCAAAAACAGAATTCCATTCCAGGATTGTAAACAAATTCATCACTAACAAAGGGCATACTACAAGGTAATGGGTTTGGGTAACCCTCTTTGATATTGTTTTAAATTCACCTTTGCACCCTTTTTTAACATTTTTGTAGTTTTTAAATGTTTTTCAGTGTGTAAGT